GTAGTTTACCAAACATAACAACACAACACAACATTACACTGTAGTTTACCAAACATAACAACACAACACAACATTACACTGTAGTTTACCAAACATAACAGCACAACGTTACACTAGTTTACCAAACAACACAACGCAACATTACACTGTAGTTTACCAAACATAACAACACAACACAACATTACACTGTAGTTTACCAAACATAACAACACAACACAACATTACACTAGTTTACCAAACAACACAACATTACACTGTAGTTTACCAAACATAACAACACAACATTACACTGTAGTTTACCATTCATCCCAGAAATCAGTTACAAAATAATTCCCACTTGGACAAAACTTGCCACTTAACATAAAATTCCCGTCGTCTTCAAATTCTCAGAAAAACCCGACCCTGAACTCCAGTCGTTACTAAGTTCAAGTTATGTAGTGTCACGCAATACCAACTTCATTTACAAAAAGCGTAAGAACTGCTCCGAAAGAAACCGGAAGAAAATTAGAAATCGGATTCACTGAACATAATAAAAACACCGTCTAATGTTTATCACCACTAGAACTTAAAAAAAACAAAAAACTATAGCATATCTATTTAAAAACCTGCAATTTTAAACAAAGAACCAAAGAACCCTACTCTAAACTAGCACCCCTGGATACAAAGACACCTGTACCAAGCTGTTAAGCAATCTCCGGTCATGTGACCTCTTTGTTCCTTACTGTATAAATAAATATACGTATAATTCTACGTCTACGTAAACTACCTATACCTAGTGATGACAAAACCTTGTACATTTCCTGTTATGTTAAACTTCATTACCCATTCTAGCCGTCTCCAACCATTATTATTCTACTAAAGTTGTCTTCATTACCCATTCAAGTCGTCTCCAACCATTATTATTCTACTAAAGTTGTCTTCTTTACCCATTCAAGCCGTCTCCAACCATTATTATTCTACTAAAGTTGTCTTCATTACCCATTCAAGTCGTCTCCAACCATTATTATTCTACTAAAGTTGTCTTCATTACCCATTCAAGTCGTCTCCAACCATTATTATTCTACTAAAGTTGTCTTCATTACCCATTCAAGTC